AGAACATAGTTTTAGAATCACGTCTGAATGCGGTAAAGTCGCTGAACACTGGTAGTTCGGTCCGAGGTTCGAATCCCGCGAACGGGCTGGCTGCATGGGCGTTTTCGTGGTTTTCCCCATGTGTAACGTGTATACGAGCCAGTTTCCCTTAGAAAGTCCTCCAAGAAGGCATCCCTCCCCTTAGGCAGATAGCTCTCGAGGCTTTGCCATAATCACACACACACACACGTCTGAATGCAAATTAAGGAAGAGCGATATTTAACCGCGAAGTTCTATTGTCTTAGTCAGCAAAAGATACCAGATATTCTGGCTAGCACGCGTCCGCTTTTTTAGGCTACTCTCTCTTAAGCTATTGTTACGCTCAGCCGTACTTTAGGCCCTTCATAGCTTCAAGTTCAAGTCCAAGTGTCGGCTTTATTGTAAACCTTCAAATACGGAGTTCTGTTAAGGGGACTCGTACACCTTAAAACCCATAAGATCTTCGAATATGTGACTGTTGCAAGAATTGGGATAACTTATTTATTGTAAAAGCAACTTTTTACAGCTGACTACATAACATAGCTGCTTTCTGAAATAGTCATCAGAAAGTTTGTGTTGCCGCAAATATTTTTATAATTTAATCCGCTTTGTGACGAAATTTTTCGTCAGTTTCCACCTGCGCGCCCATTTAAAACATTCTGTTGCATATTTAATTCCATATTAAAATATAGCTTTTAAACATTTGCAAACTACTTTAACCAAAATTCTAAGAATTTCAGGTTAAACTTTTATTTTATTTCGATTGAGTTGATAAGTATTTTTAAAAAAAATCTGTAATTTTTCGTGTTATAAACTGTTTTAATATTAAAATATCATCAGATTTTGGGTTCAGTTAGAAATAGTGCCCATATAAGACTTCCGTCCAATTTCAAGTATATACCATTAGCCATTTTTAAAATATCATGCGCGCAAGGTGAAAACATGACGAAACATTTTGTCACAAAGCGGATTAAATTCCAACAATATTTGTGGCAACACAAACTTTCTAGTTACTAGTTTCCGAAGCAGCTATATTATGTAGTCAGCTGTAAAAAGTTGGAAGTCATTGCTTTTAAAATAAATAAAATATCCGAATTCTTTCAACAGTCGCATAATTCGGAGCTTATAAGGGGTTTAAGGTGTATGAGCTCCCTTTAGTTGGAATAATAAAGGGTTATTTTACCCTTCTTACTTGTTGTTTTCTGTACACGAACTCAAGCGATTATTCGCTTACTTGTTCTTCTAAGATTCTTCACATTCTTCACTTTTTTCACTGTTCTAAGATTCTTCACTGTTCTTGTTGAGATTCTTCACATTCAACTGTAACTTCGAATTACACAGTGGGGAATCCTACAAGCAGAAGAGTAACACTTCCCGCAAATGCTGTTTGTGATACAAAACCCGATGTACTTAAGGCACTAATTAGGTAAGTTCTTTTCACTCTACTGGAAAGTCAGGGGCAAATCTGAACGTCTAATGGTTCTGCTGTAAAATTAAAATATCTCTCGTGTCGCTCATCGCTATGCTACACTAGTACAACAACTGCCATCTCTGTGGAAACAGCGATAATTAATTGAAGCTTCACGTAAGAAAGGTTTTATAAAACAATAAGCCACTGGAGTTCTGGATTGCCTTGGAAAGGGTAGGTATCTAAAGCCTTTTTGATGGTCAAGAGCTCGCAGGTATAATCCCCTAGGGGGAGCCTGTAACCCCAGGTGCCGAATCCGGGAATGCCTCCATTGGATTTCCAATGGGTGGTTGAGGGTAAATAAAATACCCTCCGCGGACCAACAAGCAGAAGTCCAACCTCTTCGGAGCCTCTGGAGATCTCCTTCATGGATAGTGCAATATGCAAGTATATAATGTATTTTGCAGTAATTGACAAAACAGATAATCTTCTTAGGTAAAACACAAATTTTATTTTTAGTTTACGGAATTACGGAGATAGATAATTTATATAATTAATATAGTTATTTGTTAAATAACAAGATATTACAATATATATGATATGCACAACGTATATGATACACAGACGTGATATAGCTAGGTATTCGTATACATAGGTACATAATATATCTGATATATCACATATGTTCAAAATATATATTGTTGCGTGCGTACGGGTTCGTTACGAAATGAATGCACAAGTCCGATGAAAAATGAACAAAAATTTATTATTAGCACAACAAAAAAATGCTTAAATCTTCTCAAATTATCATGCAGTATTACAATATCTCACAGTAGTAATCTTTTAACTACTCAAATGTCCAATAGAACGTAATTCAAAACAGCCTAAAGAAAGCTAATCCGCGAATTCGCTATAATCAAAAGAGCAGTTTTCTAAACAACAACAAACTAAGCAACTACTACAAACTGAGGTGTTTTCCTCCTTTTATAAGATTTTAAAATCACGCGCTAGAATTTTCTGGTACTTTCTCGAAATCAAAAAGAGATATTTATTTATTTAATGCACGCGCTCTTGTATTTTTAATTTTCCGGCTTAGCTTTCTTCTTTTAATATTCGTCACGCGCTGCACTGCGTGGGAGATAAAACCAATTAATTTATAATTGAACTAATATTAGCTTTTTAAATACCAAATTCGTAACAATATGATATAACCCATATATGCTTTATATAATTTCTATTCACGTGATATAATTTATATATTATTGTCTGGAAGACATTATTTTGGAATAAACGTTCTCCAAATCCAAATTCTCTTAAGTTTCCGAGAAGAATGGATGTGAAGGAAAGGATTTAAAAGCTGCCCTATCTCAAACAATCTGGAATATTTCTTATATGGTATAAAATATTTTTGCATTCCTTTCTGTATGCCTTCATGGTGTAACGGTAGCACACTCGGCGCGTATTCGAGAGGTTCAGATTCGACTCCTGGGAAGGGCATTGCTAATTTTTCATGTTCTCTTCTTCAAAAATCACTTAATGCCTCTACAGTGGTGCTCAAATTAAAAGGTGTTGGATGATGATTCTTCACCACCAGGATTTGGCGATTGGGTTTCCTAATCCTCAACCGCCCTTTTAAAGGTGGTGTCCGCCGATAACATCGCGGCAAAAACATCGCGGACGAAAACGTCGCGGAGAAAACAACGCAAGGCGAAAACGTCGTGCTACAAAACATCGTGGGAGAAAACATCGCAAAGAGAAACATCGCAGTTCTAAAAATCATGGTACAAAACATCGTCGTCGAAATAAGCGGTTCAAAACTTCGCAGTTTAGAAACATCGTCATCGAAATATCGTGGTAAAAAATAAGTATCTACAATCATCGCAATGACGATAACTTCGCAGACAGCTTTTTTCAGTTTTAATTATTGTAAATGGATATTTCCATATGATTTGTGAGCGCAGTATGTAAAGAAGGATAATTTTTATTTTCACATATTTTATTACCTAATAAATGTTTTGCTGAAAAGTAAGAAGGAAATAAGCATAAAAATTAAATGCAAATTATAGATTATACTTCTCATGAAAAATTACCAGTAAAAACTTTAGAAAAAGGATTTATAATGGCCTTTGTTAGTTAACTATGTCGGTTTAAAATTCTATTAAGTGCTATAAGTTGCATTATTTTCTATGCTTAAGTTTATTCTTATTTCTCAGCAAAAAATTTATTTGTTAATAAAAGTATGAAAGTAAAAATTTTCCTTCTTTCCAACTTGCGATCACAAATCAATATGGGAATATCCATTGTTATTAAAGCCTGAAAGAGCATGTCTGCGATGTTACGTCATGCGATGATTTGTAGATACTTTATTTTTACCACGATATTTCGAGGACGATTTTTGAAACTGCGAAGTTTTGAACCGCTTTATTTTCGACGACGATGTTTTGTAGCACGACGTTTTCGCTCTGCGTTGTTTTCTCCGCGACATTTTCGTCCGCGATGTTTTTGCCGCGATGTTTTCGGCTGTAACCTTTAAAGGTAGAGTATATGAGGTATTTTCTTCCTCCTTTCAGCATGCCTTCGTGGTGTAACGGTAGCACACACGATGCGTACTCGACAGGTCCAGATTTGAATACCGGCAAGGGTCTGCTTCAAAAACTCCTAATGACTCTACAGTGGAAATATTCAATACTATTTTTTAATCCATGCATTTCTAAAATTTAGTACAATATTCAACATGTATTTAAAGAGGTCTGCCAGAAATCATCGGAGAAATACGAAAAAAAGCAGAAGAAGAGGAGAATCTTTCTTCATCACGACAATGCAAGCTCTCACACATCAGACAAAGGAAGACTCAAGGAATGTCTTTACGTTCCTATGTTAGAATGGCGCCGAAATGGATGACGTAGTTTCGATTTTAAATATCCTTAATAAATTTAATCACTCTTGGTCTATTTAAACCTAACTGAAAATATTCAATAATAAAACATTATACGTAAACATCTAGTAATAATTCAGCAATACAGATAAGCATTAAAATAAGAATTACAACACTTACAAGTCAGCTACGCTTTTAGCGACCGTATTCTATGAACGACAAATCTCAAAAGCGTGTTGCCAACGCAGGGCAACTAAAAGGGGGAAATTAATTCGATAGGCGTGGAAGTAAACAGAATGTTTGACAGACCAAAACATCGAACCGATGGGTGATTCGCCGTATCTCCCGGATTTGGCACCTAATAGCCTTTTTCTTATTCCCGCACATCAAAAATAAATTACGTGGTCAGCGATCTGCGACACCCGAAGAAGCGGTTGAGGCGTTCAAAACGCATGGTTTGGAGTCTCCTCAATGGGAGTGGCAAACGTGCTTCAAAAATTGCAAGTTCAAACGCATACAAAAGTGTATTGATAGCCATGGAGAATATTCCGAAAAACAATAAAATCAATTTCGATCATATGCATTTTCTTTTCTCATTATTAGACTAGAAATATAAATAGCAACTTTCGTATTATGTAGAAAGTGAGAGTTGATATTGAGAATTTTACTGCCAATAACTTTTCTTTCTTTTCTAGGGGAAGCATATCGAGTCTGCGGAGGGGATGGACGTTGGTTATGGGGAAACTGGACTAACTATACCCAGTGCTTAGATTTACTCCATTCGGATGAGGTGAATTTACAATCATTTCCTTTGCGGGGGAGTTTATAGAATTTAACGAAATCATTAAATTTCAAGATAAAAATTTTCATGAATGTAATAAATCATTTATGATAAAAATTACAATCATGAGTAAACTTGAAACGCACCTGTAAGCTTGACTTTTATTCCTGCCATAACAATAGAATGCAAATGAAGTTATTATTATTGTTATAAAGTACACTATTTCAAAATTTAAATGAATGTAAGTGCATCACTTGGAATCACAGAGGACGCTGATGATATTTTATGCAAAAGATATTTCTTTTGTTCTTTATTTATTATAAGTGATTAATCCAGTGTTCGTTTCTTCGCGCAATCGCCTAATTAATTTAATATCAAGCTCAAAAGTGATAATAGAATTTTATGCAACAAAGTTTGCATTTAATATACTTTTATTTGTGCCATCGTGCTGCAATTTTAATTATTAATAATTGATAGCAAGATAAGAAAAGAAATTATCAATACCTATCAATATTTTGTTTTACAGCAGTATTTAATTACCGCAGTGTATTTGAGATAAAAGCGTTGCTTTCCCCCCCCCCAGAAAAAAGGAATCGAGTGAGAAAAAAGTTTCGAAGATTAAAAGCAAAAATCTGATGTGTACACCACATGACTTCCTTGTACGGAATATTAAATTATACGCATTTTTTCTTGCATTTCATTTAAACTTATTGGATTGAATTAAATCTACTGCTTCGATAGTGCATAAACCACAATATAATAAATGCACTGTTTAAAATTCACTATATTTTTTTACCATAGCGACACTCCGGCCCTAGGTTCACTTAACAGCGTTATATTTCGTTCATATTATAACTCAGAATGCATAAAATTTATATCATTTGAAGAATTATCTAATCATTCCCACATGTTCTATTCAAATACTATAATAAATCTGGAACGATGTATAAAAGAAATTAAGCATACAAAATAAAAAAAGAAACAGTTTTTCACAGACGATTGAGTATTTCTCATTCAGTTAATTCAATTCTCACTTCGCGAGAAGGCAAAAATACATAAAACTCAAATATCTATATTAAAAAATTACGAAGTAAAGCTTAAACACTTATTTCCTCGAAAAATCCAGAAAGGATTAAGCATGATTTAATTCGCAATAATAAATTAAGGCGTTATCTTTGGTGTTGCGAAGCTTAGTCTCTCTAGATTCGCAATAAATCCACTACTCTCCTGTTTCAAATGTAAACAAGCAATGGCCGCCGCCAAAAAAATTATTAGGCTTAGCGGCACTTAACCAACTTTTAAATTGCTGATAATTCTAAAAATATTGCATACAGATTTACTAAAGGCATAAAAACCTTAACCGGAAGATAAGAACAACATAATTCAATCATTTTAAAACAAAAAAAAAATGTACAATTTACAAACATATAAGAGTAAAGAAACTGAGATCACTGAGCCGGGTAACAGAGTGGATATATTTATAAATATATTTATATACGTTTGGTGCGGCCGATTGCAACCAAAATGCGAGGTGCACATCTACATGTTATAGCCGCCCTATATACAAAATGTCAGCGTCTTTTATTCTGTCCTTACGTACAGATATTAAAAATCTTACCTTTGCAGCATTCCAAACATTCTGTCTTTTCCTTGGGTATGTGCTTGAACAATTTTTCCACTTTTTCCAAAGTCAAACTTTGAGATTTTTTCCTCTCTACCTATGATAGCTTTAAATATCGAAAACCTATGGCTTTCACGGCGGTTTTAATAACTAAATACAAATAATTTTCCTCGAAAAAAGCACATAGTCTTCCATTCATTGCTTCTTTAAAAGCGCCATTTTGCATGAAAACAAAACTGTCAAGCAGTAAACAATAATTTGGACTTTAAAAAATATAGCTAAAAATAAAAAATAGTTTCCAAGCAGACAATTAATTTTTATAGCAAAGCAAAATCGTCTAAAAAGTGTGCAAACAATGTTTCTATCGGTACAATCATGTGGACCCTCTCGCCAATATTATACATACTTATAAGTGATGAATATTTTCTTGTTCTTAATAAAATGTATCAAACTGAATGTAGATGAATGCATGTCGGTGTATAAGCATAGGACTATCAATAATTCTAACTGCTGTCTAGTTATTAAATCGATTTTTTCTTGTCCAGCGGCAAAACCAATATTTACATAAAATATATATGGAGACTTCCCTGAATAATTGAAAGGAATTAGTAATAATAACCAAGCGGAAACATTTCATCCATCCAACAAAGTAATTTCTACTCCTATAAAGCAAGCTACATATTAAATAAAAAATTACATTTAGTTTTTCAAATTGTATTTCATTTATAACTGAAACATTACAAACTTATGATTTATCTCAGAAAATTGCTTTAATTTGAAGCAAGGCAAAAACTAGATATGATTTAAACTCTCTGTCTACGCTGTTTCTTCCGCCAATAAAGAAATATAGAATAACAGAAATTCACATTTATTATTTGCAATCAAATATAAATGAGGAAACCATATGTCCTAGAACTATCTCTTCAAAAAGAAAAAGTTAAGAATGAAAGCAAAAAAGTGAGAAAAAAAATGAACAAAAAAGATAAGCTAATTTTTTTTTTTCTGTTTTGTGTTTTACTTCGTACTATCGGAAGCGAAGTTTTTCAATTACAAATACCTATACATTTGATTTTCTCAAGTCCTACCTTTGCTAGCCCTAGATTATATTATGATGATTTGAAAATGTTGGGCATGACTTAGCGAGTGAAATTATCTGTTTTTGTAAAGTCCATAATTCTCGTCTCTATATTTGCTCGTTTTATTCATGCATGTTATGGTATTCGAACTTTTTCTCTTACAGTTAAGTGTGTGGAACCTCGAGAACTGGTAAACGAATAATCGCTTTGGCTCATGAAACAGAAACGTAAACTGAAGAAGGGTTAATTACCCTTCACATCTCAAAATAAGAATTTACAAATGGCTCCTGTCTCATAGCGTACAGAAAAGCCTCCACTTGCGCTTGAACTCGAGAGTACTAAGAAATCAAACTTAATAATTAATGATTAACTAAAAAGATATAGCCGAAGCTATCTGAAGAATCTCTGGCTGTCTAACGAAGTCAGTGGAACTTCAACTTAAATACTGCTCTTCCTCATTTGCATTAACCGCGATTCTAAAACCACATTCTGGCAGGAATTTGTAATCTGAAATAAGGAGATACAGGAAAGTAGCTTTAACTAAAAATAACTGTTCAAAACCTTACAATGCAATATTTAATGTTTTAGTCATATTTGTAAGTCCCGTGTTACACATCTGCGGCGCAAAGGGAGATTGTATATGTTCAAAATAAAAACAAAACTATATATTTTTATTCTCATGCTTATTTATAACATTTTGGACTAAATGACACAATTTTTCTTATTAAGGGGACTCATACACCTTAAAACCCATAAGATCTTCGAATATGTGACTGTTGCAAGAATTGGGATAACTAATTTATTTTAAAACATTACTTCACCTTTTCTAGCTGACTAATAATATAGCTGCTTTTGGATAGTCCTCCGAAAGTTTGTGTTGCCACAAATTTATAATTTATTCCGCTTTTGACAAAATATTTCGTCATGTTCCACCTTGCGCGCGCAGTTTAAAACATTATGTTGCATAATTTAATTCCATATTTAATATGTAGCTTTTATAACATATGAAAACTACTGTGAACCAAAATTTCTAAGAATTTCAAGTTCAATTTTTATTTTATTTGGAGTTTATAAAATGTATTTTATTGAAAACAAATCTGTAATGTTTTCATGCATAAAATTTTTTAATGTTAAAATATTCATCATATTTTTGGTTCAGTTAGAAGATAGTGCCCATATAAAGAATTGCATCCAATTTCAAGTATGGTACCATTAGCCCATTTAAAATCATGCGCGCAGGTGGAAACAGGACGAAAATTTGTCACAAAGCGATTAAATTCTAAAAATATTTGTGGCAACACAAACTTTCTGATTACTATTTCAGAAAGCAGCTATATTATGTAGTCAGCTGTAAAAAGTAATTGCTTTTAAAATAAATAAAATATCCCAATTCCTTCAACAGTCACATATTCGGAGATCATAAGGGGTTTAAGTTGTATGAGCCTCTTTAAGCAACGTTCCAGAGAGTGTAAAGCTTCACTTGAAAGAAATATATATTTTCATGCAATTCGCTGAAAACATGCACAGCTGCTTCTTGAATAATTAAGCCTTCCCTCTAATAAAAAAGTTGCAAAGAAGTGTGTTGCATTGATTTATGACAGAATAATAATATAGCAAGTTTTATTTTCCAGCCATCTAGTACTGCCTTTTTGAACATCCCGTTTTAGACAGTATACGATTTTTATTCTATATCTTGAACTTCTAGGAAATTAATTCTAAAACTAGTATTCCTCTCGTGATTGTTTAAATTAAAATTTTTCTTATCTAAATTTATTCAGTTAAATTAAAGTTCGTATAGAAAGATCAGATTTCATTTTTTTTAATTCGCGATTTTTTTTTTTTTTTTTTTTTTTTTTTTTTTTTAAAGTCCAAAGGGATTTGAATCCCGAAGGACTATTGGTTTCGTTTTGGCATTTTGCGTCGGACGGATAAATGTCGGTTCACTTATCAAACTGTTGCCATAAAAATGTTAGAGTCCTGCGTTATATTTGATGAAATCAAATAATGAAAATCTGCGTAAATGTGTGCATATTTATCGCATTGTGATCAAATAACGGTACATAGAGACATCGAATTTCGAATGGCGTAATTCTACTGCGAATATGGGCATCTGGAAGTCCCAAATTTGAAATTTGAAATTTGTTTTATGATCGATTTCCTATTTTTTAAAACTTTGACGAATTTTTGATTAACAAACTCAAGATTTCAAAAGCGAGCAATGGCAACACTCTACGGGGGGGGGAAAACCTTTTTGTCTCCAGCATGTGAGAACTATGTATCGGAAATTCTAAAGATATCGATTTTAAAACTTTTTGTGACATTGCTGTTGCAACTCGATCTTATGGTTTAAGTACGAAAGGAACATGATATTTAATAAATAAAGGTAACACACAAATATTAAAAAAAGCTCCTTTGGACATAATTTAAAATCTGAAACATTTCAGATTTTTTTTTTTTTTTTTTTTTTTTACCTTTAGGTTCAAATATGTGGGTGTTACATTAAGATCTATATCAAAGTGTTACTACAATGTGATTAAAAGTGTTACACTATGATCTGAAGTTTTTGTATTGCAGATGCTTAATATTTTCCCCTTTCAGTTATATAAAACGAAAACACAAAAAATTAATGATGTATAAATAAATGCTATTAAAATAAAAAATATTATCTCTGAATGTAACCTTTTGTTATATTCTTTCTTACTAATTCAATAAAATGTTTAACAGCTGCATTTTTATCCATACAGGACATAGCAGTGGGACACTTAATAGTGAGCTACATATTGTTTATATGTTCCTTCATATCCCTCATTGCACTTATCGTTACTCTCAGCATCTTCTGTTACTTCAAGTGAGTATCTATTAAATAATTCTACTGCCTGCAAATTATTTACTTATAGTTTCCGTATATCTATCTGTAAGATCTCCTCCTAAATCGATGTTAATGTAATGCATTAACTGCTTCTGCACTTGTACAGAGGCTGTTCACACATTTTTTTTAAACGATGTATATTGTCGGGATTCGTCTCGCTTATTTCTTTTGCTGTAACATTGTAGACACATTAGGTATTCTCTAAAATTCACTCTAGTATTTGTTTACCATAGCGACACTCTGGCGCTAGATTCACCTAGCAGTATTAATAATTATATAATAGTTAACTTAAAGAATAATTATATAACGGAAAGTAAGTTAACTGTTATATAATCCAATAATTATATAACAGTTAACTTATATATTTCATTCATATTATAACTCATAATGCACAAAATTTATATCATTTAAAGAATAGAATTATGAAATCGTTGCCACATGTTCTATTCCAATACTATAATAAAGCTAGAACGATGTATAAAAGAAATTAAGCAAACGAAACAAAAAAGAAACAGTTTTTCACAGACGATTGAGTATTTTGCTTTTACTTAATTCAGTTCTCATTTCGCGAGAAGGCAAAAATACATAAAAACTCAAAATATCTATATTAAAAATTACGAAGTAAATCTTAAAAAAATCCTCGAAAAAATTCCAGAAAGAATTAAGGATTATTTAATTGGCAATAATAAATGAATGCGTTATCTTTGTTGTTGCGAAGCTAAGTTTCTCTAGATCGGCAACAAATCCACTAGTCTCCTTTTTCAAATGTAAACATCAATGGCCGTCATTAAAAAAAGGCTTAGCGGCACTTAGACAACTTTAAAATTGCTGATAATTCTAAAAATATTGCATACAGATTTAGTAAAGGCATAAAAACCTGAACCGGAGGATAAAAACAACATAATACAATCATTTTTAAAGCAAAAAATGTACAATTTACAAACATATAAGAGTTAAGAACCTGAGATCACTGAGCCGGGTTACAGAGTGGATATATATATAAATATATTTATATACGTTTGGTGCGGCCGATTGCAACCGAAATACGAGGTGCACATCTACATGTTATAGCAGTCCTATATACAAAATTTCAAAGTTTTGAGGCTACTCGTTTTTGAGTTATGCGAGATACGTACGTACGCACTTACGTACATAAGTTCGTACAGACGCCACGAAAAATTCTCTTCAGAATTCATTTTAAAGCAGTTTTTATAATTTTTTTAAGAAAAAGAGTTTTTTATTCTGTCCTTACGTACAGATATGACGCAAAAACATCGTTAAATTGCATTCGATAGCGGTCAAATTGGATATTTTCGTTGAAATATGCTGCCTGAAACTTCTCGTAATTGCAATACTTCCTTTTTACTTCGTACAAGGAAGTAAAAAAAAAAAAAAAAGATGAGGGCAAATTTATTATTTTTTTAGATCGTAATTCTTGCCAAAGAGACAGCTTTTATTTCTCTGAAATATAGTGTTTGTTAAAAGAAGCTGAAATTAATATCGGTTCGACATGTTAATTTTCGGAACCAACAATGATAGTTCGTAAAAATGAACTACGAGTGAATAGTAAGTTGATGAAAGCGAGAATCCACTCCAGTTCCTTCTTTCAGTTTTAAGTTTTGGTAGATAATTACATTTAAAAACCTTTCAAGGACCAAAACCTTTCTTTACATCACGTAATATTTTATCAAGAAAAAAAAAAGTCACATAAAGTTGTGTTATGGCAGACGCCCTTACGGAAAATTCACAGACTTAGCGGAGCTCAAAGCTGGAAAATTTTAATAGTAAAGAAACTGAGAACAAGCATGAAAAAAAAAGAAAGAAATTCTGAAAGCTTTCAGGCTTGACATTACGCCCAAAAGGGCGTTTCTTAGCAAAAAGAGGCAATTTGCCCAGAAGCGCTATTAATTTAATTTTGGCATTCTGCGTTGGTTCATTATAAATGTCGGTTCGCTTTTCAAGATGTTGCCACCAAATGTTAGAGCAGTACATTATATTTAAAGAAATTAAATAATAACGAATCTGCATGAATGTATGTATGCTTCTCCCATTGTGAAGAAACGTAGATACCCGGAGACATCCAATTTTGTATAACGTAGTCTTCCATTCAAATATGGGCATCTGAAAGCCCAAATTTGGAATCTGGAATTTGTTTTATTACCTATTTCATATTTCTTGAAATATTAAAGCATTTTTGTTTAACAAATTCAACGATTTTAAAGAGAGCAATGGCAACACTTTATGGAAAAAAAAAAGCATTTTTATCTCTAGCGCGTGAGACTGTGTATCGGAAATTTTAAAGATATGCTCATTTTAAATAATTTATGATATTGCTGTTGAACTGAACTTGATGCTTTAATTGCGAAGAACATGATATTTAATAAGTAAAGGTAACACACAAAACGTTAGGAAACGTCCCTTTTGGCGTAATATAAAATCTGAAAGCTTTCACATTTTGTAACGTTTTCTGTGTTACCTTCACTTACACTGAAGTGACAAAAGTCATGGGATAGCAATATGCAAATATACAGATGGCAGAAGTATCGCGTAGAAAATGTATAAATGCGAAGTGCTTTGGCAGGGCTTTCATTTGTGTTCAACTTACTCGTGTGAAGAGGCTTTGACGTGATTATGGCCGCACGACGAGAATTAACAGACTTGAACGCGGAATGGTAGTTGGAGCTCTAGACCCAGGGGTCATTCCATTTCGGATATCGTTAGGTAATTCAACATTCCGAGATCCACAGTGTCAAGAGTGGGCCGAGAGTATCTAATTTCAGGCATAACATCTCACCATGGACAGCGCAGTGGCCGACCAGCTGCACTTAACGACCGATACCAGCAACGTCTGCGTAGAGTTGTCAATGTTCACAGACAAGCAACACTGCGTCAAATAACCGCAGAAATCAATGTGGGACGTACGAGGGACGTGTCCGATAGGACAGTGCGGCGAAATTTGTCTTCCTTTGGCTATACCAGCAGAAGACCGACTCGAGTGCCTTTACTGACAGCACGACATCGCCTGCAGCCACTCTCGTGGGCTCGTGAGCATATCGGTTGGTCCCTAAACGAATGGAAAACCGTGGCTTGGTCAGATGAGTCACGATTTCAGTTGGTAAGAGCTGATGGTAGAGTTCGAGTGTAGCGCAGACCCCACGAAGCCATGGACCCAAGTTGTCAACAAGGCACTGTTGAAGCTGGTGGTGGTTCCATAATGGTCTGGGCTGTTTTTACATGGCATGGACTCGGTCCTCTGGTGCAACTGCACCGATCATTGACTGGAAATGGATACCTTCAGCTACTTGGAGATCACTTACAGCCATTCATGGACTTCACGTACTCAAACAACGATGGGAGTTTTATGGATGACAATGCGGCATGTCACCAGGCCACAATTGTTCGCGATTGGTTAGAAGAACATTCTGGACAATTCCAGCGAATGATCTGGCCACCTAGATCGCCCAACAAGAATCCCATCAAACATTTATGGGACATCATCGAGAGGTCAGTTCGTGCCCAAAACCCTGCACCGTCAACACTTTCACAATTATGGACGTCTATAGAGGCAGCATGGCTCAATATTCCTGCAGGGGACTTCCAACAACTTATTGAGTCCACGCCACGTCGAGTTGCTGCACTTCGCCGGGCAAAAGGAGGACCGACAAAATATTAGGAGGTATCCCATGACTTTTGTCACTTAAATATCATGTACTTCGCATTTAAACCACAAAAAAAAATTCAATTCAACAGCAATATCACGAAATATTTAAAAACAGCAAGAAAGCATATCTTTAGAATTTCCGAAAGACAATTTCACGCGCTGGAAATAAAAATGTTTTTTTTTTTTTTTTTTTTTTTTTCCGTCTAGTGTTGCCATTGCTCGCTTTGAAATTGTTGAGTTTGGTAATCAAAAATTCGTTAAAGTTTTACAGAATTTGAAATAGATAATAAAACAGAATTCAATATTTGAATACTTGGGCGAATTTAATTTTTGGGAATCCCAGTGCCCCTGTTTCGTTGTATGACTACGTTATTCAAAACTGGACGGTTCTAGGTACAGTTGCTTTTTCACAATGCGGAAAACATTCTTGCATTCAATGCAGATTCTGGATTATTTGCTTTCTTTAATTATAAGATATTGCAATAATGTTTGTTGGCAACAGTCTTAAAAGTGAACCAACGTAAAAAGTGAAACGACACAAAATGCCATTTTGAGACGAATTGCCCTTTGGGTCTAACGCCTCTTTGGGTTAAGTTTCAGATATGTAAATCTTGTAAGAAATAAAGCAAAGAAAAAACAATCAAAAGAAACATTCAGATTTCTCAAGAAAAATCACTGATAAATTTAAGCGACGTAAAATCCAGAATTATAAAAAAAGCTCTAATTTTTTTTTACTTGTATTTTTCGATTTTATGTTCGTTGTTATACCTACATTTTAATTAGCTTCGCAACATGAGTATTTGATTAGCATAAATTCGTATAATACCTCTCGTGGTTATAACGGTTTATTCATATTATTCATATATTATCTCTCATGGTTATTAAGTGGTTATAACGGAATTTTGCAAATACGTGAAATATAATTTTAAGGATATTAGATTAAGGAAAAGGATATTAGATTTAGAACTCTAAAAATGGTGCAATAGTAATAACCGACAATTAAATCTCATTTCTCTAAAATTTAATTATTTCATTTCACCCTATCGCTGAAGTTAAAGTCGCTGAAATTAAATAGTTAGCAATTGTAATGAAATTTAAATATTCTTCAAACATTTTCGTGAACAATCAGCTCCAAGAACTTCAATTTAATCCGGAAGCGATGAAAATATTTCCTTTAAGATGAGGATCTATAGACTAAACTACGCCACGCAAAACTGTTCAAGATTCTTATAAGGTATTACTCTTGTCACCAGAAACAGTTTTGCTTTTTTATACTACTACATACCGGGAAAACAAAATCTGATGTGTACACCACATGACTTCCTTGTACGGAATATTAAATTATACGCATTTTTTCTTCCATTTCGTTTGAACTTATTGGATTAAATTAAACCTACTTCGCCGACAGCGCATAAACCACAATAGAATAAATGCATTCTTTAAAATTCACTTTGTTTGTTTACCATAGCGACACTCTGGCGTTAGGTTTACTTAACAGTATTATATTTCATTCATATTACAACTCAGAATGCACAAAATTTATATCATTTAAAGAATTATCGAATCGTTGCCACGTGTTCTATTCAAATAATATAATAAAGCTATAACGATGTATAAAAGAAATTAAGCAAACAAAACAAAAAAGAAACGGTTTTTCACAGACGTATCAGTATTTCTCATTGAATTAATTCAGTTCTCACTTCGCGACAAGGCAAAAATACATAAAAACTCAAAATATCTGTATTAAAAATTACGAAGTAAATCTTAAACACTTATTTCCTCGAAAAAATTCCAGAAAGGATTAAGCATGATTTAATTCGCAATAATATGAAGGCGTTATCTTTGTTGTTGCGAAACTAAGTTTTTCTAGATTGGCAACAAATCTACAATTCTGCTGTTTCAAATGTAAACAAGAGCAATGGCTGCCATCAAAAAATTTATTACGCTTAGCGGCACTTAAACAATTTTAAAATTGTTGATAATTTTAAGAATATTGCATTCAGATTTACTAAAGGCAAAAAAAAAAAACTTAACCGGAAGATAAGAACATAATTCAATCATTTTTAAAGCAAAAAATGTACAATTTACAAACATATAAGAGTAAAGAAACTGAGATCACTGAGCCGGGTAACAGACTGGATATATATATAAATATATTTATATACGTTTGGCGCGGCCGATTGCAACCAAAATACGAGATGCACATCTACATGTTATAGCAGTCCTGTATACAAAATTTCAACGCTCTGAGGCTACTCGTTTTTGAGTTATGCGAGATACGTACGTAAGTACGTACATACGTTCGTACAGACGCCACGAAAAATTCTCTTCAGAATTCATTTTAAAGCAGTTTTATAATTTTTTTGGAGAAAATTGCGTTTTATCCTGCCCTTACGTACAGATGTCACGGAAATACATCGTTAAATTCCATTCGAAAGAGGTCAAAATGGATTTTGTCGTTGAAATATGCTGCTTGAAACTTTTCGCGATTACAATACTGCCTTTTTACTTCGTACAAGGAAGTAAAAATCAAATCATGTAAACTGAAGGCTTAATTTTAAACAGCTGCGAAAGATTAACAATCTAACCATGGGAATGCCATTCTATGTATAATAGAATGCTACATATATCCATTCTGCATATAATAGGAATACAAATATTAGGTGTTCTAATTGTAGAGATATAAGGTTATTTTGATGCGGGAGACGCGAAAAATGAGCAATGCCCTCGTCGGGACCCAAACCAGGACCTCTCGAATACGCGCCGAGTGTGCTACCAATACACCACGAAGGCATGCAAAAAGGAAAGAGAAAATGCCTTATATACTTTCCCCTTTAAAGGGTGATTGAGGATTAGGGAAACCAGTCGCCAAATCCTCTCAGTGAAGATTCATCATCCACCACGCTTTAGTTCGGGCGCCACTGTTGAGACATTCGGTTATTTTGATGCGGGGATGGGAAAAATGACCAATGCCCTCATTGGAACTCGAACCTGGAGCTTTCGAATACGCGTCGAGTGTGCTACCTTTACACCACGAAGGCATGCAGAACATATTGACACGAGTTTTATATTGACAATTAGAATACGCTGTTTTTAAATGTTCACATTAACGTAACCTTCTTATCCTAGCAAATGTGTGCGAGGAAAAGGGGAATCAAAGGGAAGGTAAAAGAGCGTTGAAACTTAATCGTTACTAAAATTAATAATTTGTAAGTTTTAAAAAATAAGCTTAACCCGCGAGCACACGCACCGATCCGACGAACACGAGAACACGCGCCGGGTATGTCATACCCGAATAAAAAAATTGTAATTAAAAATTTGTCAAAAAAAAATTAATCGTTTTTTTAAAAGAAATTAAATGTAAAACCAAGTTAATACTTCATTTTAGACAAAACAGGAAACACTAAGGAGAGGAAAAATTATTTACTTACTTCTTGAACATTGTTTACAAAATGAGGTCATATGTTCTATACATATACTTTTGCTACAATTTTCACAAATGAATCTAGTCTTTCTATCTTTTTTCTTGGAGCACTCTGTACACCTCTTGTAAGTCATTTTCGGTTTTTTGGGGGACAGTTAATTGTTAACATGTTCATCGGTGGTCAGTGTTTGTCCAGAATCAGGAACCACAGATGCTCGCCGTCGTTCATTTTGAACATTTTCTATTAGCTGCATCCCTAGGGCTTTGAGAAAAGTACTCATCCCGTTGACGAGTAAAATTTTCTCGTATTGAATCAATATAAATATTTGTATTGTCAACTACATGTTTTAACATATCTTCATCGATAAGCAATGACAAGGAATCTAAAGGTGTTGAGAAGTCTTCAGAATACTTTGTATTTCCAGGGAGTTTAGTTATAATATTTTTGGCGCCAATTCTAACATTAGTCCGGAATTTATTTTTGTTCCATTTTTTTCCAACATAAAAACTCATTGCTACATTCTAGAGTTTCATTTTCTGTTTCTGTATCTGAATCACTACTCTCTATGGGTGAATCATGATTACTATTATATTCTTCGTCATCAACATCTTCCTCTTCTTCACTAAATGAATCCTCATCAGAAGAAACTGTTTCAAGGAGATTTCTCAATCTTTCCATCTCTTCATCGTAAGGAATATACGGCGCCATGCTTACACTTCAAGAAAAACCTATACTTAAAACTTGAAAACGAGAAGTGCGAAGTGACTCGCTGAGAAACTCGAGTACACGCACGGGTATGACATGCCCGAACAATGCTGTTCCTAAAAAACCGTTGCACTTGCCACCTCAGGAATTTCCCCCATTTAAGTATGTGACCTTGAACTCAGCTACACCAAGTTTCGACCTTTTATGAAATAATGGGCGAGAAATATACAAAAAGAAAAATGCACATGGGTATGACATACCCGCCGCGTGTGCTCGCGGGTTAAAATAATATAATGTAATAAGCTTCCTTTTTTCGCAAAATGATTCCTTCATCTTTAGCCTCGTTTATACTGTTATATTAAAACTAAGCTATGGATTTTTTGAATTATTTAAGCTCAAATTAGAGTAAATTCCTCATAATTATTAATCTGTTTTCATCTTCGCTTAAGTAAGAAATTTTAAAGAAAATAAAGGTCGAAAAGAAAATCGGTAGAGAAATTTAAACTCTGCAAACCCCTTGACTGATGTTCTGCATAAATCTCTGTCGTCGTGCACTGAATGTCAAAAGCGTCTCTACGCTGATACGACTCTAAAATATAGAAGGAATCTCTTTCAGAATCATCCGGGAAATTCCTTCTGAAACTGACAGCTGAATGGCTTTTTTCCTATCTTTTAGGTCCCTGCTGTGCTCTCGTTTACGCGTCCACCGGAATCTCGTGGTGTCACTCATCATCCATTCTGTTCTGCTCATGATCATCCCTTCTGCTGTCATTTTTCGGTCGTCGCTACCCGCCTATACGGACGTGGTAAGTAACTTTTATGCCTAAGGTTAATATATTTCTGTTCTAGTATTTGTTTGATTGCTATAACTAAAATCTGAGAATAAAGAAAATTTTAAAGAATATCCCCAAGTTATTAAATTAATCGTGTGGAATCCTAATACACATAACCGAGTAAAATGCTATTCATAAACTCAAATCAAGTACAGTTTGGTAAAATATGAATGAGAAACCAACAAAATGCTTATTATAACTATTATTCGGCATAATAATAATGAGTTTCGTTTATATTCTGTGTTTTATAATTTTTGCAGCTAAATAAAAAAATCTGATGTGTATACCACATAACTTCTTCGTACAGAATGTTAAATTATACGCATTTTTTCCCGCGTTTCGTTTAAACTTATTGGATTGAATTAAATCTACTTCGTCAATAGCGCATAAACCACAATAAAATAAATGCACTCTTTAAAATTCACTCTATTTGTTCACCATGTAGAGATAATAGGAATATTTTCTGAAGCAGGCAAGAGGAAAAATTAGCAACGCCTTTGCCGGGAATGGAACCACGGACCTCTGGAATACCGGGCCGGTGGCACACCACTAAACTACGAAGGCGCGCTAAGAACGCGGGAGAAATACCTTTTAACCATAGCGACACTCCGACGCCAGGTCTCTTAACAGCGTTACATTTCGTTCATATTATAACTCAGAATACACAAAATTTATATCATTTGAAGATTTACCTAATCTTTCCCACATGTTCTATTCAAATACTATAATAAATCTAAAACGATGTATAACAGAAATTAAGCAAACAGAACAAAAAAGAAACAGTTTTTCACAGACGATTGAGTATTTCTCATTCAATTAATTCCGCTCTCACTTCGCGACAAGGCAAAAAATACATAAAAGCTCAAAATATCTGTATTAAGAATTACGAAGTAAATCTTAAACACTTATTTCCTCGGAAAAATTCCACAAAGGATTAAGCATGATTTAATTCGCAATAATAAATGAAGGCGTTATCTTTGTTGTTGCGAAGCTAAGTTTCTCTAGATTGACAGCAAATCCACTATTCTGCTGTTTCAAATGTAAACAAGCAATGGCCGCCATCAAAAAAATTATTAGACTTAGCGGCACATAAACTACTTTAAAATTGTTGATAATTCTAAAAATATTGCATACAGATTTACTAAAGGCATAAAAACCTTAACCGGAAGATAAGAACAACATAATTCAATCATTTTAAAGCAAAAAAATGCAGAATTTACAAACATATAAGAGTAAAGAAACTGAGATCATTGAGCCGGGAAACAGTGTGGATATATATATATGTTTGGTGCTGCCGATTACAACCAAAATACCAGGTGCTCATCTACATGTTATAGCAGTCCTATATACAAAATTTCAACGTTCTGAGTCTACTCGTTTTTCAGTTTATGCGAGATGCGAGATACGTACGTACATACGTTCGTACAGACGCCACGAAAAATTCTCTTCAGAATTTATTTTAAAGTAGTTTTATATTTTTTTTTGGAGGAAAAGAGTCTTTTATTCTGTCCTTACGTACAGATATCACGCAAAAACATCGTTAAATAGCATTGGATAGTGGTCAATATTTTCGTTAAAATATGCTGCCTGAAATTTTTCGCGAATACAATACTTCCTTTCTACTTCGTAAAAGGAAGTAAAAAAGAAATATAAACGATCTGAAAGGTTTCAGATTTTAACTTGTAGAGACATTAGGTATTTTTTGGAAGCAGGCAAGATGAAAATTAGCAACGCCTTCGCCGGGAATCGAACCACGGACTTCTGGAATACCGTCCCAGCGTGCAGACCATCACACCACGAAGGTACGCTAGGAAAGCGGGAGAAACACCTTATAAACTCTCACCCAGAAGGGTTTGTTAAGGTATTTTACGCTTTCGCTGCGCTAGCACTTTACCAGTCTACTATTGTACTTACTCTTTCTAATGCTTTTCATTTCTTTGTACGAAGTAAATGAAGTTTTGTAATCACGAAGAATATTCCTATTTCTTATATTGTACCATATTTCAACGGAAATAACCATTTTGACCATCAATTTTAATATGGAATGCAATTTAACGATTTTTTTGCGTGACATGTGGACTAGGTAGGACTCTTTATTCCCAAGCGAATTGTAAAACTGTTTTAAAATGGACTCAGAAGAGATTTTTTTTCGTGGCATCTGTACGTACGTATCTATGTATCTCACATAACTCAAAAACGAGTACCCTCAGAACGTTGAAATTTTGTATATACGACTGCTATAACATGGAGTTGTGCACCTCCCGTTTTGGTTGCAATCGGCCTCACCAAAGTATATATATATATGTTACGGTGAAACACTGAAATCTGGAGAATGTCGACTTTCACCGGTGAATGTCAACATTCACAAAGTCTCTTGGTGTACGTCCGAAATATTTTCCAAATACTCTTTTTTGTGACTTACACCGGTCAATGTCGACATTCACCATGTACTAATGGTGAATGTTAAACATATAACAATATTATATTTTCTTCTCCGTAATTCAGTCGCGAATAAACGCACTGGAGACTTGAAAGAAGAACTTAAGAACATGAGAACCTAAAACACACAATACATTCAAAATGAGAAAGGAAAATAATAGAAGTTCAAAACTTACTTAATTATGCAGTACGTTCTAAATGAGAAAATAAAATAACAGTAATAAAAAAATTTACTAAATTATGTGATTGAAATCTTATTTATTGCAACAACTTAAACTATTATGGCACTTTATGACCTCTCTTTTCGACTTACACCAGAGCATGTCTGTGATTGTCGACATACACCGGTGAGGGTCCGAATGTACAAGAATATAGTGCTATACTCGATCTTTCACCGACGTATTTGGTGAATGTTGACATTCTCCGGTGAAAGTCGACATTCTCCAATTTCGGTATTTCACGGTAACACATATATGTGTGTCAATAAATATAACTTATTAATTTTAAGTAAGTGATTATATTTTTAAAAGAATATTCCTAAATACTATCCAAAGAAAGTACATCGTCTACGCTCTGCAACCAACATAGATTTCAAATTGGCCGGTCAAAATAGGAAACAAGGTTGAATAGCTCAATATTACACGCAAATAACTGTCTATGATCCAGTTATTAATCAACTCAATGGTAACTGTTTTATATTTTTCCAAATAGTAATATAGGACTAAAATTTCTATAATCTTTTCAAACTGCCTTTCTTACCGAACAAAGAGAAATCATACCATTTCCGAACGTATTGAAATTCTTCAAAACAGCTTTCTAAAACTGCTTTTTTTTTAACGGTAATAACACTGGATGACTTTCCCGATTTCACAACGAAATCTTTTCAGATGGTTCTACTAAAGAGAAAGTTCGAATAAAATTTAATAAAAATAATTCTTTTTGCCCGATATCAGTATATGAAGGAAATATTAATAACCAGAAGTTTCATTTCTATGCATGTTAAAGAAGATGTACTGAAGATTTTATATTGATAAAATATGCTTTTATAAAGCATGTAATTGTGTACGTTTTGAAAGACTGTCTTGTTCGTCTTACTTTTATAAATAGTACTCTGCAACAGCGGAAACGTTTTTTGTATGCGCAATATTTCTTTATATCACACCATACGTATTAAAAAATACCTATTTTATTTTTTATGAAATCAATAGTTTTGGCAGCCGTAAATTGGCTTTCTAATTTTACTAAAATTTAAAGGCTTAGATTCTGATACCCAGAATTACTAATAAAAAATACGCAGAGTTTTTACTTCTGCTTCATTCATGTGACAAAATGCAATTTAATATATTTCACTTCTAATGAAACTCTAAAGCCCGTTCAGAACAGAGCCTTCGTTTCGTATTCCTTTGGAGAATTCTCAAATAAAAGTCTGAAATTCAGAAGAAAGAACACGTGTTCCTGATAAGCTGATTTATTTCATCTTTTCAGAAACTGTTTTTCCTTTTTTTAATGATCATATGCAAACTCTGAATACTAAACAAAATCTGCAGACTGAATATATTTCTTCTTTATATCTCAAGTTCGTTGCAGGAAAGGTTGTATTCTCAGTTATAATGAAACATTTCCCTCGAGTGTTTTACTCAATGATGGCAATCTGAAATCGAAATTTCAATAAAGAATCAAATGCATTTTAATTTCATCCATTTCCACAACAACGTTCCCTTTTTAGGAAGAAGCACTTTGTTTTGGTATCGATTATTGCCACCAGTAAAATTAAAACTTGTTTGTTTTCTTCTTTGAACTGCTAGAGGCTAGCCAGACTTCATACTGATAAAGATTTTATCCCGATGGCAATTAACTCCTTTGTTTTACTGGCTCCCAAAAGAGTTTCTCTTGAAATAAGTTAAATTTGTTTCATTTGAAATGTTCTGCTTGACAAGAGACTTTAATATCAGAGGACGTGATGAGAAAATTAGCGGGGAAATTCACTTATTTTCTTTTATAAGGTTAATTTTCAGAGCAATCCTTCATTAATAAAAGATGTAAAAGGTGCACATCAGTTTTAATAACTAGCGAGTTATTATCTTTCATTTCATCAGGGACGGCCAAATATCAGCCAGCCCATTTATTTCATTTAATTCAGCGGTGCTCAACCTTTTAACTAACGCGTACCCTCTAAATCAAAATTGAAAAACTTGAGTACTGCTACAACATTTTACAATGATTATATTTCAATTTCTCAATAGAAATATTAGTATATATAACTTTTTAAACAAGTCAGAGGATTGCCAATGGGCTTACATTCCAGCTCCTCGATCTGTAATATATTTTTATTTGTCAAAGAATTTAACTTCCAAAAAATTCTACAACCACAAGAGTTAAATTACTACAAAAACACCTAGAGATATATTGATGACCTTATTACAATTAATAATTTTGGTAAAATTGAACACTCCGAGATTTATCCAAATTGTCTTACACTTAATAAAACTAATAATTCACAAAATAGCATAGACTTTCTAGATCTTCAAATCATTA